GGAGACCTACTATTGTGGTTGATTTATACGAGCTGTTAGTGAAAGTGTGTGAACAGAAAACTGTCCCCACCGACTGGAGCCGATCCGATATTGTCCAAATCTTCAAGGGAGGCTCCTGTTCGGAATGCGGCAATCATAGATGAATCTGCCCGATATCCATCGCCTCTGAGTTACTTGCTCATGTCATCCTTTACAGACAGACTGGCCCCCGTGGAAGTCCGACTATGTGGGAGCAAACCGGGTTTCGTCGAGGTCGGGGCTTCACCGATCACATCTTCGCTTTACGTCAAATGTTACAGCACCGTCACATATATTTGCAACCCACTGTAGTCAATTCCTCGACATCAAAGGTACCTTCGATTCTGTGCATCGATTCGTTATTTGGGACTTTCTGCTGAGGAAAGGTGTGCCCGATAAATATTTAAATATTTTCCGAGTTTTTCTCGGTCAGAGTGAGGGTCGCCCTTTAATATCTCCAGTGGTGTAAGACATAAATACCCGTTGTCACCTTTCTTCTCCAAATTCGCTATTGACGAAGTCATAAAAATCGTCTGCATAGGACACAATTTAAGAAGTATGAGCTGCTCCCAAGTGCACGACTTCTTGGTTTGCAGTATGCTGACGACATTGCCCTCATCTGTGACAGCTGTGCCAAGCGACACTCGACAAATTAGCAGTGCCTGTCAGTCGTTTCCGACTTTGCTTTCAACCCTCAAACCAGTCCGTGGCCGAAAGTGCAAAGCCTTTGCCCGGAGGTCGCGAGTTTGAACCGGCGTACGGAACCGGTCAATCATCTCAGCAGGCTTAGCCCACGCGCAACTGCTGTTGCTTACATAGCAGAAAAGGACGGCTACGGCGTGCTGCTGATGCCTTTTCTCTCCCGCACCCTCAAAGTGCATAGCTTTCCACCAGGATTGGCAGGGATCGCCTCATGCACTGACTCTTGGTAGGGATAAGCATTTGTATCAGCTTCAGTAGAATCGGAAACAAGGCCAGGAACCGTATAGCAAAAGCTCGAGGCGCTTTTGCTTACCTTCGCTACTTATGGCGCCAACGCGACATCGCTCTCTGAAGAGTAGAGTAAGCATTGTAGCCGCACGTTCGACCCTACTGTACGGTTGTGAAACCTGGCCTATTAGATCAGCAGACGTAAAAACGCTATTTACATTCAACCACCGCAGTTTGGCTCATATCTGGTGAGAACACACAATGAGTAATGAGCGTGTTCGACGCCTTGTTTATGGCACAGGGATAAAAAGTGAACCGGTCGGCACTGTAATACCACGCACCAGGCTCCGATGGTTGGACCAAGTGTTGCGTATGCCAGCAAGCCGACATCAGAGACATGCGTCGCATACGCAACCAGGGTGGATGCAAGAGGAAAAGCTAACCAACGAAAAGGTCAGAAGGAATGAAGACCCAGAATTCGAAGTTAGGCCCAGTTGGATTCCTTCGACTGCCTGGCTTGGGCAAGAAAGACGATGAACGCGTTTGATTGAATATACTTGTTGACATGGCTAGAAGCCAACCTCAGTGGCATTTGTGCCGTTTCTTTGACTCTCCCACTCCAATCACGATCACATTACTGAATCATAATAGAACTTCTTTGCAACACAACAGCGGGCGGCTGTCTCCGGAACGATACCCATTCGTTACTGGTGGCTCAGCTGGCGTGACTCTGTTGCGTCTGTTTATTTTTCTCTCTCTCGTGTATTGCGACACAATGGCTGGGGTGTTTTCCACCTCTAGCTAACATGTATAATGATGACGAGGCCGAGGCTGAGAGAGTATCACGGGTGTTAGACCAGGTAAATTTGGCATAACTTAGTGGAATGGCAAACAAACATTTGTCGAAAAGCTGCCCAAAACTTTCACGTTTGATATTGTTCAATACGTGCATCAGTTGGCGCCAACCTAATACTGAACAGTGCTCGTCTGGCACTTGAGCCGAACACAGACTGACATCGTCTACACACTCTGGGTTCGATCGTCTGTGACGATTTGCTGCAGAACATGTATATGGATAAACACTATTGTGTACCAGTTAATCTGTTGATGGAAGTTCTGACCACACGTTATCAGCGGAATTGATGCAGTAGGTTGGGTGCAAAATTCGCACCAAAAACTGTGATCTTTACCTAAGGGAGGATATAATAGTTCAGAGCACAGGGAATTTGGAAAGCGGGGTGATGGGAGTAAAGGTCAATGACTGACTGATCAGTGGGGTTACCAAAACATACCGTAATTGGCATACATCCGAGGTCAGGGCAGAAAAGGGCATAAAAGTAACGTCAGAATGAAACTAAACCGTATAGCCACTACACGGACAGGCATGAACTGGACACTTTTTCGACGTTTTTGGAGCGCCATGGCACGGGCCAAATCATATGACCCAGTGTGGCTTTGACCAACCCCATCAGCTTGTGAGCAATCGGCCTAAATTGCTGGGTCACGAATGAAAATGGTGGATGATGAATTGAATTGACAGATATGCAGTAGCACAGTGCCGTATTAATGAGTGGGTAGAATGGAATGCAGTAGCAAACAAGGTACAAAACAGGTCCACTTGGTGAACGCCGCATTACCGGTAGCGAACAAAGAGTGGTGTCAAAAGCCGGTGCCTTATATAAAGCAACACACAGGGTAAGGGTTAAACATTTGTGTACATGGACCACTAGACGACGTCATAAAGAGAATAGGTGAAAAACAAATGAAATCCATATGTTCACACTTGAACACAAAGAAATCAAAAAACTGAAAAACGCAATGTTGCAATTTGGAGAAAATTGTTGACTCTAGCATGAATACCAAGTAGAGAAAATAATGAAGCACAAGATACAACGCATACTGAACACAGTGCTTTCGAGCAAGTTCTCAACAAGTAGTAGGCTTCCTGTGAATTTTGGGAATGAAACCGAGCCGGGCGCCTTAATAGTCGAGCACGTTGTTCAGGAGATTCATTGCAGTTATACTCAGATGACAGCCGCCACACATCCAGGAGAGCGCTAGTCAGTCGTTTCGTTTTATTAGAACTCGTCAGTAGAGCGTGTCCGTTGAGTATTGCCGCACCTTACGAGTTAGCGAGTCATGCCATCGAGTCATGACGACGAACCGCCATGCCTGATATCTATAATGCTTCTCATCCTCCACTGTCATTCATGCTATGGTCTGACGAGTACCCGCAAGATGAAACGGCCATCTAGCGCTTTCCAGGTTGTTTTATGGCTATTTGAGTCTAGTTGCGACGGATCTTTTCAAAAACAACAAATTCCCCTACTAGTCTCGAGCATACTTGAAGGGAAAACGGACAACGTGCGACCTAGGATTGTGTACTGGGGTCAGGCCAAGCGAACACCTACGCACACCCAACACAGGGGCGAATCGACAGCATGGATGAGCATGCGGGCAATTAGTGAGATCCGGTGCACACCGACAGTGTGGGCGGACATGTGAATGGCCGTGAGCAGATGACCAAATACGGTGCAGTGTAGTCAATACGCCAAGCAGAACACTATCAAAACGGTTGGGGCCAATGTGCAGACGACCAGAGAACCAGTTTGTTCATGTGAAAAGATGATTGACCTAGAACTAGCCGATAACGACGTATAAACGTAGTCAGCTGAGTTTTGGTTTTCAATTTTCCCTCGGCTGAAATGGAGTGCCAAACAGAGAGCACTGAAGGCAACAGTACAACGTATCGATGGAAGTGGTAGTGAGTAAGACGGACAGCCCCGTGTGAGCACGCCTGGGACTCAACTTAATGACCCGAGTGGATAAGGAAATGGGGAGGAAGATCAAAAGTAATTCATAAACATTGCCTCGTACGATGCGTAACAGAAAGGCGGATTACCAGAGAATGTAATGAGGGTCCAAATGTAAAACAGGGTAAATATCATAATGTTTTGACAATCTGAATTAACGTAACGTTTGGATCCCAATTTACTGCAAAATATGCGAAAAGGATGTGTGCTGAAGTAGCTGAAGCGACAAAGGATAGAAAATTAAGCACCACATCACTATCTGAAGGGTAGAGTTAGCATTGTAGCCGCACTTTTGACCCTACCGCACTTTAGCCTATCTGGTGGGAACACTGCATGAATATTTAGCGTTTTTCTGCATCTTGTTTATGGCACAAGCTCCAGTTTCTGGGTCATATGTTGCGCATGCCGGCATATTGACTCTAGTGACGTAGTTTGTTAGCGCAACCGGGTTGTAGGTGGAAGAAGAGGTAGGGAGACTAACTGATGGCATCGTCAAAAGAAATGTAGACTCTTCTTTGGAAGTTGGCCTCGGTTGTGGCGCCCCCCGACTACCTGGTTGGGGTCCGAAAGACAATGAACAGATTTTTCTGAAAGCCAACTTCAATGGCGTTTGTGTTGTGAGTTTCCTTGTCCCTTCCACTTTTCCTCTGATCACCATCTTATTTCTGATGTATAATATAACTTTCGTGTCGCAATAGCCGTCTGCTAACTCTCCGGAACGATATCAATCCGTCACTGGTTGCTCAGCTCGTGTGTCCATGTTGCGTCTTTTGTTTTATGTATTACGGCACAATAGCTGAAGTCTCCCACCTCTAGCTAACGCGCATAATGATCATGATGATGACTTACGGGGAAATCCACGTAATCTCAAGTAAGAGAAATGCAGGCTAGATATCAGGGTGAACTTTGTGAACCTTTTAGTTTGCACTTGGAACAACCTTTCTTAGGTGGTGGTAGTGTAATACTGTTGATGGATTCAATAGAATCCATGTAAATTTTAGCTTCGCATTTTTTTTGAATTATTTGGCACTTATTGACTATTTTAGCTGATGTGCTTCGTGGAAGTACAACTTTTGCGTTTGCCACCGCCTCATCTCTTTTGCAAAAACAATAGAAGCCGATTAGACGTCGAAGTACCGGGTGCCCTAGTTTGCTCGCTGGCTCGCTCGTTAGGCATAATCCTATAGTATCCGTTGAATCTGAACTAACTTGACCTGAGATATTCCTTTTGCATTGCAGCCCCTAGCTCTTTTACGACCTACTCATTGGACTCGGAATAACTCAGAACCCTGGACCGAGAGCATATTACAGTAGCTTGATGCAGACGCTTGCTACTGCTCCCACCCCTACAGCAGATGCCCAGAACTTAACGGACTCAAGGAAGTCACGCAAAGCAGTTTTTCGACGCACGATAGATTACAATGCTTCGATCATAAACTATTTGAAAGATCGGCTGTGGATCCACAGCTACACCAACAGGCCTTCTCTGCAGCCGGATTTGCTTTGGAGTCCTAAGGTTCGATTCACCGCAATATTATCGTTATGAGTTCAGCTTTATCCTCCGAAGTGTTATATGGATAGCCCAGTGAATTGTGTAATGTCAAAGCCAGTCCGAACGTCTACCAACAAAAACAAATGCCCCATATACTGTGTTTGCGTATGTTGCTTTGTCACTTATAATCATTAATTAGTGGACCCCAGAGGGTAGGCGCTTAATCACGGGGGCTTTCAGTGGAGAATTTACCCTTTGGAACGGACTAACCTTCAATTTCGAAACCATACTTCAGGTTAGTTTTCAAAGTAAAATCAAACACTGAGAATGCTTGTTGGATGACACTAGTATGCTTTCCGTTTTCTTAACTTCCATCTCGTCACATTCTGTTTCCCGTGATTGAAGCTATGGTGTTTTCTGTTTGATGCAACTTCAGTTATTTCCCGTTATTCAGCTTGGATCCTAGAGCAGACTGTGGTTAACCCCCATCAGTATAACACTGAAATGTGTGAGAAACAGTGGTGGTCAAAGCCTGGTCGGGAGAAACGCACTACTGGTATGTGCCATCTTTCTGCTTACATATCGTTACAACATGTGGGTGCGTATTTCGAAGAGGCATCACCATCGTTCTATCATTAAACACGTTAGCTCGAGGCTAGAAACGTCTATTGTGCCACAGTACAATATAGATTGTTCATTTCAGTTGATCAACTATAATCCGAGCACCGAAATGCGGTGGATCCAGTTACCAGTAAGAATAACAATAAATAAAACCGGTAGGATAGTGGGTTGGAAACAAATAGAACCTAGAGAAAAGGAAAGCAAAATGGAAATGCGTTAGAGGGATCATCATGGAACGGAAATTAACAACCAGCTGAAAGAAGCCGGATGCAGGAACGCCACTAACTTCGTGACTGCGCCATGTCTGACAGCGTCTCCAACCTTTGGTGGGGACCGTCCTGAGGCCCCTATCCAGGAAACCGGCATGCACAAGCCTGACAAACTCTCTCAGTCAATTTCTTCAAGCTTCTTTGCCATATCATGGACTGGTCACCTCACGGTTTCGCCCGACTTGGTGGAGCCACGGCGTATAGTGCACGCCAAGGAAACCGATCAACGGGCATACGGAGGACATGACCTAGCGAACGCAATCGACTAATATTTATCAAACAAGTAATTCCAGTCAACAAAGAGTCACCGCCATCTTTCAGCAAAAATGGGGGAAAGTCGTCGTGTCTCGGAACCTTCTTTCGTTTTAACTCTGCGAGCTCATGTCGAATCTTTTCCAAAGTGGGAGGTGTGACATCTACTTCTCACATCGGCTCATGTGATTCAGCAAGCGGCATTGTCACAACAGGCCTGCTGAACTGCTCAAAATATTCCGCTCAACGGGCTAGTCGAGGAGACTGAGAGTGGGTCAACAGTCCACCTTTCTCAGCTATTGCCTTGCTAACTGGTTGCTTTCTCGGACCCGTGTTCCGGATGAGCTGGAATAGCACCCGGTTGTTTCCAATAACGCTGGCTTTCTCCATCTCACGGAACATTGTAACCCACCAAGGTTCCTGGTCAACTCGAAGACTCTTTGTCAGACGTCATTTCAGGAAGTTACGGCCACGCTGAAATTCACTGCCCATCAGAACCTATTTACGCGTTTCGATCAAACTGGTCGATGCTTCAGAGATACATTCACAATTACCACGTCTGAAGTTGGGTGCACAGAAAGCGTCAAAAGATATTCTTCATGCACACTTGAGATGATCCCAGTCGGCGTTCGGCTCACCAACCTCATTCATCACAGACAAGTAGTGGGCCACTTCGTTATGATATTGTTGAACTGCTGGTCGCGAATTCAATTTGCAGGTAAGAAGGTTAGAAGATAGGCGCCTCTCTCAAATGGGACGAGTGAGCGCCAAGCGTGCGCGCACTAGAACATGGTCGGAATCCATGCATGTGCTCCAAATTGACCGACAGTCTTGAAATAATGTGCGCCACCTGTAGCTGATAGAACTATGATCAATTTGGCTCCAAGTCATTTAGGAATTCGGTGTGAACATTTGTGCTGAAAAGCAATGCTACTAATATAACGATTGTGATCAGCGCACAGTTGCAGCAATCGATCGCCACAGTGTTTTCGGCGTGCATCGACTGCGAAGCGCTCTCCCAGATATATTTCAGAATCTGAAAGACGACCCACCTGGGCATTCAAGTCACCAGAAACAACCACGATATCAGTATTCTTCGCCATGCGGAGAAGTGATGAAAGATGGTAGTGGAAATCACCTTTGGTACCTTCCGAACTGCAGTCAGTAGGAGCATGAACGGAGACGATGGAAAGGAACTTTGTCTTCATACGGTGCTTATTAACCCCAATAGATTTTGGTAAACGAAAGTGAAAATGAAGCAGCAGTAAATGGAAAATTAAGTACTTTGTTTCATATTATGCATCGATGAAGAGCTCGTGGCTGGAGTACGAGGCTAAGCGGGATTGGGCGTGGTGAAGGAATGCAACTGACGTCGCTTTTTCGCTATCAACAATTTATTCCAGCCAAACTTGTCTTTCTTTCGGACTCCAATTAGGGAGTCGAGAAGCTCCAACCAAGACCAACTTCGAACTGTCTGCCGTCACGTTTCCTTTTTGATTTCGCCATCGACGAAGCCATGGAGACTACCCTCACTGGACACAACCTGCAAGCCGTGGAGCTGCTCCAAGGTGATCGACTACTTGATTTGGAGTACTCCGACGGCATTTCCCTTATCTGTGACAACACCCAAACATGCTAATTAGCACTGGACTGTTTAACATTGAGTGTCAGTTATTTCGGACTATTCTTTGCACAGTCGAAATGCAAAGTCCTTCTCCGAGATCGGTAGGGGTCAATTCCTTGGTGGTGATCAGATAGAAGTCCTCGAGCAATTCAAGTATCTAGGCCGTTATATTGGCGCTAGTGGAATGGGCTAGCCGCATAGCAAAAGCTCAGGGTGCTTTCACCAGTCTCCGCCATCTGTGGCGCCGGCGCGACATAACTGTCGCCCTGAAGAGCAGAGTTTACAATGCAGCCGTCCCTTCAACCCTCCTGTACGGTTGCGAAATCTGGCCCATCATCATTGCTTACTCAGCTTAGCTCATGTCTGGTGGGAACACCGCCTGAACAATGAACGTGTTCGGTATTGTGTATTCGGTGCAGCAAGAGCGACCGCTCAACGTCGTTATTTCACCAACCAGGCTCCGATGACTGAGCCTCGTGTTGTGCATGCCAACATACCGACTCCCACGACGTGCCTTTTTTCTCGTCCGGGGTTGTGGATGGAATAAGAGGAGGGGAGGCCAAGCGATGACTTGGTCAAGAGGTATGGAGAATTTTACTTCGAATTCTGCGTTGGTTGGTGTTTCCCGACTTCCGGGCTGGGGACCGAAGGTCGAAATGCACGTTTGCTTGGATACACTAGTTGACATAGCAAGCAGCCGACCTCAATGGCGTTTATATTGTTTCTTTGTCCCTCCCCATCCCGCTTATCTTCCTCATCCAACCATGATCTCTCACTTGAAACATAATGTTACTACCCAATTTGTTACCTTTTTTATTCTATGATGTTGACTATCTCGCTCTTCGTATATCTGTATTGTGGCACAACAGTTGAAGCGTGTCCCTCACCTCCAGCTAATGTGTATTGTGGATGATGTAACTTCGAACTGGTCCTTCATTCCCCTTGACCAAGTCATCAGTCGGCTAACCCTCCTCTTCCATCCAGACCTAAGTCGCGCTAACATCGTGAGAGTCGGTGTGTTTGCATCCATAACATCGGAGCCATCGGAGTTTAGTGCATGAAATAGTGGTACTGAGTGGTTAATTTGCTTTTCCTGGACCATAAACAAGACAGTGAATGTGCCCATTACTCACTTGATGTTCCCACCGGACGTGAGCCAAGCTGCGATGGCACCGATGATCGAACCTAACAAGCCCTTTCACGTGTTGATGTGATTGTCAGGTTTCACAACCGGACACTAGAATTGAATAGACGGCGGCATTTAGACTCTAGTCTTCAGGGCGAGATTTACGTCGCGCCGCGACGGGTAGCAAAGTTGGGAAAACAACTCTAGCTTTTTTGTGGTTCGTGACCTCATGTCATCATCATCATCAATACACGTTAACCGATGGTGAGAACCACACCTCAGCTAACGTGTCGCAATACAATAGATATAAGATATGAAACATTACAAACTACCAAAGCTGAAAAAGTAACAGTGCTAAAACCACCTCATGCATCTGGTTTTAGATCGTTGTTGGAGGGGAAGCTAAAGGGGAGAAGAGGGACAAAGAGACTCACGACCTAAACACCAATGAGGTCGCCATGTGAGCTAGTGTATTCAACCAACCGTGCTCATCTTCCCTCTAACTCCAGCCCGGCAGTCGGGAAATATCAATCAACGCCAATTTCTAAGCTAGCGACTTCATTCCCCTAGTCCAAGCCATCTTTTGGCCTCCCCTCTTCTTCCAGCTAGACCCCGGGCGCACAAACAACGCACGATGCGGTAGTCAATCTGCTGGAATGCGCAACATGTGGCCCAGTCATCGGAGTCTGGGGCGTGATGCGGTGCTGAGTGGTTCACTCGCTCTTCCTGCACTGAATACGCAACACCCAACACGTTCATTGCCCACTTCATGTTTTCCACAGGCGAGGATGCAGCTGTCAAGTAGTTGAATTGCTTGACGACTTCTAGCTTATCTTCGCCAAGAGTCAGTGCAGTGAACGATCCCCACCAAACTTGGAGGAAACCTTTGCATTTGGAGGATGTCAAACGCAGTCCAAAACGATTGACAACCAATCCTACTCTGCCCAGTGTTTGGCAGATTTGTGAGCTGGCACAAATCAGGGCAATATTGTCTGCACACTTCAAGTCCATAGATCAATCACTTCGAAGTAGTTCCCCACCTAGTTCGTGTCCATTGCAAACAGTTTTCATCGCTTCGTCAATAGCGGCGTTGGTCGGTGGCCGTAAAGATAATGCACTTGCCTTGTAATCCGGAAGTCACGGGTTCGAATCCGCGTAGGTGGAGGTGATTTTGCGGTATACCCAGCCCACGTGCAACTGTTGGTTCGCGCGTCGTAGCGAAGTTTCGGTACAGTGTACCGGTGTACTGCTGATATCTTTGCCTTCTTGTCAATAGCGATGTTAAAAAGGATAGGTGACAACGGGAATCCCTGTCTCTCACAGCTGGATATACCGAAGAGCAGCGACAGCGTGCCTTAGTTTACCCATGGTTCGCGCTTGAACCGCTCCTACACTATTTACGTATTTATCTGGCACTCCTTTCCTAACCAAGTATTCCCAAAGAGCACATCGGTCCACCGAATCGGAGTCAACTTTGGTATAGAGACGCATGACTACACTGGGTTGCAGATATATGTGGTGATGCTCCATCAATTGTCGTAAAATGAAGATGTGGTCAATGCAACCCCGACTTCGGCGCAATCCAGCTTGTTCTTCCCGAATATACCTTTCATTGACACCAATCAGTCTGTGAAGAACAGAAGCAAGCAACTTCGCTATGTAGACCGGACTGATTGCTCTGATTACCGCACCTCGAACATGATCTCCCTTGGAGATCGAGACAGTGAGGCAGCGGTCCAGTCGCTTAGAACACCCCTCCTCCCACAGTATCACTAATAACTCTTGTAGACCATGCACGGGAGGTGGTCTCTCAAACTTGAGGAGTGGTCTGATTTCACGTCCGACTTCGGAGCGAGTGACCCGATCCAAAGGGACGGCCAGTGACGCTTGTCGATCACTGGTCGAATCTGACCGGCAGCGAATCTGGTAGTTCCGGCCGATTAAACTGCTTTTTAAAGTGCTGAGCCCAGTGTTTTTTGGGCTATGGATAGTCTGTTCCCTCTCACTACCTATAGTTTCACTAGCACCAGTTTTTCTGTTCCCCTTTTCCCGTATCAAACGGAATAGTTTTCGATGGTTACTAAGGCTTCCATGGTGAAACCCCGCACCGAAAAACGCTCACACGAAAAATAGTAGCAGTCTGAAAATCTCACTTGTTTGTCTGAGTGCATTTACGTGAAATTTTAATCAAAGTTACTTTCATTGCTCAATTTGGCGATTGATGCAGCACGTTGACTATATGTTGAAGTTGTTTGCCTGAAAGGAAAAACACGCTCACATTCACGTTCTTCGCACAACTGAGACGCACGTTGCTACTCCTGCTTCCCTAGCTAGCACGCCTCACCGGTGTCGTTTTATAGCGGGGCACTGTTACTAAAGCATTCATGTTGAAATAGATTGTGCGAGTGCTTCTTGCCAGTCACGGTCACCAAACTCACCTAGGCAAGACAAGGCTAGCCACGAACTAGGTCTGTTTACACAAAGTGGGTTTTAGCGGCCTCAAACTGCAGTAGGTGGACGGTGCTCTCTCTGTTGAGTGTTCCATAGGAATCACGCGTTTTGGCGCGTAGCACAGTGCAGTGCGTACCAGCCGATCAAGCTAGCGGATAGCTTGGGTCTTGTAACAATGTGTAGTTTCAAAATGTTCCAGCGGATTTCGGAGTCCAAGGTCACGACTGCCATATTGTTAGTGCCACAAATAAATAATACCGTAAACTGTGACGAATTTGCCGAAACGCTAATTTTACATCTGACACTTTTAGGCGTGGGCTTTTTTGTTGTGCGCAATTTTCGTGTGAGCTTCCGGTTACCAAGGTTGACCGCCCTTTTCATCTCCGACACACTATGAGACCCTCAGGCTTCGCGGTCACTATTCAGGCTAGTACGCAATTTTTCGCTAACTTTTTGCGAGTTTTGTCCTGTTCGTTTTCAGCTGGAAAACGTCGGCGATCATCCAGAAATCTCAGCTACAGCGTTTGCACCCAATGTCCAGGTTGGCAGTTAGACTTACCACATGAAAACATGTCTGATGCTTATTAGGTTTGGCGAAAGTGCGACCAGCGACCTTCATCTTTGTTCAATGAGTGTCTAGTCAGCCCGAGTGCAAGCGTGCTTTAATACGCGTTCAGGATATCTGACTTCGCCAGTTAGTAGGTGTCTGCGTTCACGACGTCTCCTGCGTCCGCCAAAACGCACCCGCAGATCAGCACAGTTGCATGGTCAGAGTCTACGCCTGTGTTCCGAATGACACGGCAGTTTCGTATGCATCTCCAGTAGTAACTAATCGCGATATGATCGATTTGCGCCCATGGCTGGTCCGAAGCTGTTAGACGCCATGTAACTCTTCTGCGGGTACCGTGTCGGAATTTAGTGATCGTATGAAGTAGACGAGTAATTTCACACGCGCAACAACCGCTTATCGTTACCATTACGGAGTTCGCACCGTATTGGCCGCTCAGATGCAGCACATCAGTGGACAATTTTCCCAACTGATCCACCGCGCCTAGGCGATTGGATCGTGTTAGTTGAACTGAACTTAACCGATGCGTTCCTTTACTCCTGACTCACCGGCTTTCTCACCTTTTATCAGTTGGTCAACTATTATTATTATTATTATTATTATTATTATAGGTAGAAATTCGTCATATCTAGACTCACTCAGACAACCATCACACGCCCGGAAAAGCACTGTACACGCGTTTCATCCTTTCGGGAATCGTCAGCAGTGCGCATTCCATCGGACCCTGGTAGGGCTCGAACCCGCAACTCGACTGTTGCCAGTCCGTGGTTGAGATCACTGAGCTACGGGGACGGCAACGACTATGTTGAATAAGTTACTAGATTTGATATAGCGCCGCTCACTATCCACTGACCTGCACGTTACTACCGTGCAGAGGACAGGGTAACCCCCTCACAAAGTGAGTCTAGAAGTGACGAATTTCTACCTATACCATTCAACTCCCCCTACTACTCCTCTATTATTATAATTATTGACGCGAGCCAGCACAACCGCACTCTGGTGTAACTGCTTAAAAAAGAGCTAAACGGTTTGATTACTCCACAGTAATCCCGACGTCCCTCAGAGGTTGCGTTCACTCACTACCCAACATATTAACTGTTTTTTGGTGACATGCTTTCCCTTCTAACTTGTCTCCGCATTTGTACTATCGATGGTCACTACTTACCACTCTTCTATTCGCGTCCAATCGTTCACTTCCCCACCGCATATCCTCATTTTGTTCATCGCGCGTCGAAGCTACCGGGCATCACGCAAGTCTTTTCGGATCAATTGCTGTGCTTGATTCATCTCTGCACGTTTCCTTCTCATCAGGCTCACGAATCACAAATCCGTTGCATGAAGTGGTCGCACAACGATGAATGGCTTTTGACAGCCGATCATTCTGGATATGTAAAGTATTGGCAAGCAAATATGAACAACGTGGAGATGTATCAGGCTCACAAAGAACCTATACGTGGGGTCAGGTACGCGTTTGCTTCATTGGAAGCATTCTGTCCGGTTCTGACCAATCCCGTGACATCAATAATCGCACTTTGTGAGATGCTATTTTTTTCTCATTTAGCTTTTGATTCTCGTGTACCTCATTTGGCCAAGCTAATGTGCCAAGAAATACAGCGGTTATGTGCACAACTTAAGCCCAGTAAAGGTCTTGTCTGTTTTCCAACATCTGGCGTTTTCTATAGAAAATTACATGTTTGGAAGTCTACCTTCTTTTTATCCAACTTCGCTGTGGGTCGTGTCGATGCGTTGTCGTCTATCTGGTAACTCAAATGGCCCCAACTGTACTCGGTGACTACTTTTCCCGGTGCACTAAATGTTAATACTGCTGCGAAATTTTCTTCAAACACTTTTCTTGCAGCTTCACACACTCTTCTACGGTGATCCAGTTGTTTCGCATTTCTATTTACTTTTTCAAGAACTCTGATGTAGTCGGTTATCCTATGCATGCGCTGAGTACCACCGATCCGATTGTGCGAAAGGCTTTATCTGGTGCTACGGAAAATTGGCCTTCGTCTATCATATGCCCTATGCATCCACTCAGTTCACCTACTCTTTAGCTTTCAGTACTCTTCTGATTCTTTTAATACGCCGCTTAATATTTGTCGCTCCTAGTGGCTGGCTGTACACACTTTTCTCGACAAATGAGCTCTGTAATTTCCACTCTTCTCATTCATACCTTGTCTGGTCGGGCAAATGTTTGCATTTTTTGACCTCGTCGTTTCGTCCAATCTCTTTCCTGTGTGTGGTTGCACCTTATTTACTATCCGTTACGTGCTCCGTGATGGGCGCTGCTGTCCGACTTTAAATTAACATCACTGTATTTGTTGCCAATTTAGTAGCTATCTGAACCGAATCCGATTACAAACTACTTAATCGGTCATGGTAACCTAGCACCAACACACCCATAACTACATGGAAAGTCATGAGCACCGCCTTCAGCGTAAGTGCTGCAGTTTTTTTTCTCGGCACTGAGAGTACTTTTATCATAATCCCACGGATTCGCTTACGCCCATCTCAATCGGTGGAACACTTCACTGTGCATTGACAAACCGTCTCACACTACCGCAACGAGACTGGACCTTTATGTTGTTTGACGGTTTGCGTACCTCTTTGACCCATCGAGCTATACTGGGTGGTGCTCCGGTGCCCCTTGAGAGCTATTCCTACCAGATTGGTCAATAGTTAAAGGTCATACAAACACAATTTCCTGGTCCTCCAGGTTGGAGGTTTAAAATGGGATGGTGTCCATTTCTGTAAGACCCACTCATCGCCACCTCTCGGCTGCCTTCCAAACAGGATTTTGAGTCAAAGCCTTTGGTTGAAGACCCTAGTCGTCCTCCTCGCTTGGTTTGGACACCCTGGCAACATCACAGCCCACCTACAATCATGACGATTTCTCTAAAATTCAACGGCATCCTCCGTCGGCCGTTACGCAGACTATCAATGATCGCTATCTGCTGCATACAGCAGGGTGGATAAGCGAAAACATGCAGCTGCTGGCGCCTCCTTTCTTTTCTATTTGTTTCTCCCCCAGCCCACATCGCTAACTTTCCTTTTATAGTTCCCAGCTTAATTGACAGCAGTCGTAATACCACTGGAGTCGAACCATCTGCATCTACCTTCCCGCACCACTCACTGGACGCCTGTCGGCAACAGACCCATATAAGACCACGCTGTCCCGTTTCCTTGTCCGCCTTCAGCGTTCTCACTTTAAGACAAACAGATCAACGGACTGCACTCGCATGCACGTTAGACGCACTGGGTATTGACGTGTGTTGCGTATCCGAAACTAAGATCAATGGCCCTCATGGGGTGGTTGAATTAACTGTGCCCGGCTTGTCCTCTCGCTATGGTTGCGCGCATCCGGAAACACTGAGACGGCAACCTCTGGTCAAACTGGGGTAGGTGTCGTACTCAGCTCGAAGGCTGAGTCATTGTTGGTTGACTGGATCCCAGTGAACATCCGTTCGTGTGCGGCCCGTTTGATGACTTCGACCAAGGTTAGGTCACGAAGTAGTACAAGACGCTGTTTGTTTGTTTTTTGTTTCCGCTTATGCTCTCACCAACTGTTGTTCTGATGCTGCCAAGGATGCCTTCTACCACGAACTGAACATGCTGCTTCGCAGTGCTACCAGTTCAGATGTCAGTACTAGCAGAGGATATGCATGTACAAGTAGATCGCCTGGGTTCTTCAGAAGCTCAGCTAGGTGGTAATTATAGGCTTAACTCCGAATGCATGGACAGCTGTGAGCGTCTTTTGCAACTGTGCGGAGCACCGGCAGTTTCTTTGTGGCACTGGTTTCAGACACATTAAGCACCGCAGTGCTACTTGGCCTCATCCTGTAGCTGGCCAGAGATGCAAAAACCGATCACATTGCCATAAGTTGCAGGTGACGTGGTTCCATTCTGGGTTTCGGCTCGTTCTAAAACACTTGCATGGATTCTGATCTTGCCTTGGTACGCTGTCGTTTCTCCATGAACTTTACCGGGAGACGCATCAAGCATCTCCCCCGAGTAGCAACTTAGAAATTATCCCAGCCCTCGGTCAGGCAAGCCTACCAAGCTGCACTGCGTACCAAACTTTCGCTGTCTTGTACTAATGACACTGAGCTTCAGTGGAATAGGATCTCGGCCGCAGTGCACGACGCAGGAGCATCTGCTTGTGGCATTATCAATCGTCACCGCACCAGTCACTGGATATCCGAGAGGTCGGTAAACCTATTGGAATCCAGAAGAAACCTCCCAGCTTGCTCTGCGCACCATGTGACCAGACGGACTATTAGGGGCTAACTAAAGGGAAATCTGTGTGTTTACATTGAAGCCTGGTGGACTAGTCAGGCTCAGGAAATGTAGTAGGCAGGAGCAGTAGGGAACTATCGCAAGCTTTTCCGAGTGATCCGCTCCACTGGCTCCTGAAAATCAGACCTCAGTGAGACAATTAGAGACAGCGTGGGTGCCATGATTCACCATAAGGAGCGCCGTGCGTCTCGTTGGGCGGAGGACATTTGAGAGAAGTTCAGTTAGCCCGCTGCTTCTGGACCCATGCCTACTCAGGTGATGCAGGACGAGCCATGGACGGTTAGTTTAGAGGCTTCATCGGAGGTTGAGGTCCGAAACGCGATCATAGCTCTCAATCGTTTTCGTGCTGCTGGCCCTAATTCCCTGGCAACCGCACTATTTAAGGATGGAGGTGAGATCCTCTGCAAAGCACTGACTTCCCTGTTAGAACATGTATGGAAGGAGGAGACCGTCCAACCTAACTGGAGTAAATCGATTATAGTGGCAATACACATGAAACGTAGTCGCACCGACTGTGCTATCCACAGGGGTATTAGCCTAACTCCCGTAGTGACAAAATTATTGGCCTCAATTCTCGTTATTTTCCTCACTGTGGAATGGGAATCTCAGATTAAGGAAGAGCAGGTAGGTTCCCACCCTGGATATGGATGTATAGACCATATATTCACTCTGCGGCAGGTGTTAGTGCAGCACCACGCATACTGCAGTCTGACAGTAGCTGTGTTCCTTGGTTTCAGGAGTGCGTTCGATTCAGTCGATCGACGCATTCTGTTCGAAATACTCTCACGGAAGGATGTTCCCATGAAATGCGTGAATATTTTACGTGCTTTATACTCAAACACTACAGGCTGCGTCAGGGTTTACGGTGACCTGTCGGATATCTTTCCGACTACAAGTGACCTTCGTCAGCGCTGTTCATTTTTGTCCTGGACTTCATCATGGAGGAATCTCTTGCGGAATGTCACTATGCAGGCCTTGAGATACTGCCTGGTGAAAGGCTAGTCGATCTTCATTATACGGACGAAATCGTCTTGCTGTTGGACAATGTTGGGACGGCACAATCAGCCCTGAATAGCCTCCAGAGTGGTTCCATCATTTGGCTTGCGCTTCGCACCTTCTAATTGCAGTGTTACTTACATGAACACCAGCCACTTGATGACCCCTTGACTTTTGATTGTGAGGAACTCGAGGTAGCTGATCATTTCACTTACCTTGGCAGCTGTATCGTCATCATTGAAAGCACCTCATGCTCATGCTGTTTGGTCCGTAACCGCATCTTCGATGGGCCCATAGCAACCGAAGTCAGTTCACTTATTGCAACAGCCAGCACTGCGATTTTGAATCTGGGACATTTTTGTTGACAGAGTGCGGTTTCCCTCCGCTTGTAAGGCCGTGGTTACAAGGCCACAGGGAGGGCCGTCCTACTCTATGGGAGGGAGACTTAGACCCATAGGGCTAAAGATCTGAGGCGCCTTCGAGTCTTTGATCATCGCTATCTGGGGTGCATTGTTGATGTCGGGTAGCACCAGCGTGTCCGGAACAAAGGTGTGTCTGGGCAAGTGCTAGGCATTGATACCCAATCTAGTTGTTTAGAACAACTGATAGCAATAAATAAGTTACGTTGGCTTACGCATGCACTACGTATGCCCGATCATCGCTTACCGAGGGGAGCCTTGTTTTGCCTGCCAGATGTAGGATGGCGCAAGGCTCGTGGTGGACAAAAGTTGACTTGGCAACAGGAAATAAAGTCACTGACGACCAAACTTGATGCCGTCGGTCTGGCTCCTCTTTCAGATTGGAGTCCACTTGACTCGCCTTGTGCTTGACCAGAGAGTTTACAAGTCGTGGCTCGTATTTGGCACTTGTGGCGCGCCTGCTGCCGTCTAGTCAGACTGCTTGCTTGTGTCTGGTGCTGAGTTATCTGCAGTGTTGTTATCTTCTCACTAGACGCGATTCCGAAATTGACACTTTACTGCTTTACAAAATTTCTAGTCCAACCGAAGGAAAAAGCAGAACGCCAATGACCTTGACAAAATAACTTATTAATCGCCGCCAACAAACATTGTACAACTACTACGGGCCTTGGCTGTATTTATAAGTCTCACTGACCTTCGACTTCTAGAATTGGAAGGTCAGCTACCAAGGTTAGTGGTTCCCCATATCT